TTTTGCCACTTGTTTCTCATATTGATATCTCTTATTATTTCTTGTACAAGGAACACATTTTCTGTAATGCTTCTTCCTCGAATGAAACCAGATTGGTTTGGGGAAATGAGTGTGGGAAGGATATTAGCAATTCTTTCATGTATCAACTTTGAGATGATTTTATTGATAAAAGTACTCAAACTTATTGGTCTTAAATCAGTAAGAGTACTTCCTTCATATATGCTTTCAAATTTTGTTTATCATTTCAAATATACAACACAACGTGAGTTGTGATGTATTAGTGAAAGTTATAATTGAAAAAAAAACGCCCCCTATTATTCGATTTTAGTTGTCCATGATTTCTAATATAGTTTCAGCAATTATATATATGCTAATAACTGTAAAGTTATAATTGAAACAACACGGGATAATGCACAAGTACCTCCCTAGAATATGACCGAAATCTCAGAAACACACTTAAACTTAACTAGGGTCCTATTACACTTAAGTGTGTCCTGGAATTTCGGTCATAGTCTAGAGGGTACTTGTGCCTTATCCCAAACGACACCTCATATAACAATAACACAATTTTCATCTCAAGAAAGTAATATCCAACTCAAGAATACTGAATATGGTACATGAAGAAACAAGATACGCAATGGTAGTGCATTATCAAATACAACAATGTGACAAATGCAGTTAAGCTGGAAAAATCAACTGACAGCCAACCTCGGCTTGTCGCTAATACTGTTTGAAATCTATGTAAAACAAACTTAAGAACTGCAATACATGTAAAATATAGCTGATTGAGAACACGAACAACTCTTTCATTTCCAAACTCTTTTGATCATTCACCACCTTTCGACGTCTAATCTGCAAAACAAGTTCAAAGCAGTTCAAGCTCACAGTTGAAAAAAAATACAACATGATCACAATATTCCAATTATGAAACAAAAGACAATAATCTATCAACTAGCTAAGAACATATTCCCCCTCGCTAAATTCAGAAGCCCCGCCTGGGCTCATTATACTAATTAGCAAGCTCAACTTAAATAGGGTCCTTTAGGGAAAGTAATTGAGCACCGAATTTCCAAACAGTATCCAAAGCCTTTTTCTGATGTTGTAGAAGTTTAGCAGCAGAGATACTATTAGCATCAAAAGCACCTATATTGATATTAATCTGGTGCATATCGACACAGTTTCCAATGGACTATAGCTCTGTCTCACTGCCAGCAGAGAGATAAACGAAGAGATTAAAATATCACTTTGGCCTACTGAATTGCACGCCTTCTATTTTTTTGGGTTGCAGATCTCTCTGCTTATAGCAGAAATACAGTTATGGAAAGCTAACAGAACTACAGAAGAGCAGTGACAAAGAACACATAATAAACTCGAATCAAGAAATAACATGACCTCCAAAAACACTAAATACACAACACCCAAAGGTATGGCCTAGTGATCAATGAAGTCACTTGAAGTGGATTGAGAACCCTGGGGTCTCTCATGTTCAAATCCCAACGTAGACCAAAAATAAAACACCAGGTGATTTCTTCCCATCTGTCCTAACCTTGTTGGACAAAGTTACCTGATACCTATTGCTGCGGGTGGGAGGTGGCAAGTATCCTATGGAATTAGTCAAGGAGTGCGAAAGCTAGCCTGAACACCGCGGTCATAAAAAAAAACTATATACATAAGTAAAATAGGCAATGAAAAATGATATCTACCTAATGGAAATATATACTTAACAATCTATCCAAGCACCTTCTGGGTTGAACGAATTTGAAATCCATACACTTGCAAGAAATAATACATCATATTCAGGCATAACTAATGTGATGTTGTGACTCACATGGTTCACATAAAATCTTTCCATAACGATTTTGAATAGATTTCAAGTTCTCGCACTTTTGTTGTCATATGAACTTGACTGAAGAAATAACTAGACGGGCAGAACTGATTTATGCACAAATGGAATAAGCAAAGAAAAACTATATCAGTCTGAGAAACAAATTATCAACAATCTATCCATGCTCCTTGTAGATTCAATTATTAGAAATCCATAAGTCACTCTCATGGTTAACATCAAAACATTCGGCACACATTCCAATGCATATCTCAGAACCAACCCTTCTATCTCGGGCAAAAGCACAATGCACTTCAATCTACACTACCTTAGAATAGATAGGCCTATATTAAACAAACCTTACACCCCACCCTTATGATCAAAGCAGCTAAACTTAGCAATAAGCAAACAAAAACTATATCAGTCTTGCTTATGTCAGTGTAACTTTCAAAGTGAAAGAAATGACCAAAATAGCAAAGAGAATGAGAACTTAGAACTGAAGAAAATATACATCTAGCCATTAGCAGCAAGGAGTACATTTAAAAATAAATACGATTTTTTTTGGATACACTTAACTCTCCGTATCCTTGAAATTAAAAAAACAACAATAGATCACAAAAATCTAGCGCAGTCTTATCATGTGCATTTCTAAGCAGGATATAAATGGTCATTTTATTTTTGAGCCGAGAAACCCTTCAAAGTGCAACTCAAATGGAACCCGAATTCTCCAATGGTACTCAATTTCCATCAAACTCAGTGCCGGATTCGATCTTGACAATTCCTGTTGTGCCAGCAGAATTGATCACTGAAATTCTCTTGAGGCTTCCAGTGAAACCCCTCTTAAAATTCAGGTCGGTATCTAAATCTTGGCTTGCTTTAATCTCTAGTACTAAATTTATCAAAACTCATCTCAATCTATCTGCTAATAACAAGAACAAGGAAGAGACCCACCATGTACTTTTTTTTGGATGTCGGTGAAGAGAAATGTAATTATAAAGAATGTCCTCTTAAATCTTTATTTCATGACTCTGTTACCGAGGCTCTTGAAATTGATTTTCCCATTGAAAATGACATTCATGGGCTCTATGCTATGGGTTCTTGCAATGGATTGATTTATCTTGCTCGTTATTGTGTAGGATATTCCCTTTTATGGATTCCAACAACTAGAAAGTACAAGGATTTGCCTCTTTTTAGACCTAGATCGGAAAAACACAAATGTGCTGCATATGGTTTTGGATATGATGCGCTCCATGATGATTATAAGATAGTTCTTATTTCTTATAATGATATTATTCGCAGTTCAGATGATGTTATGGTCAAAGTATATAGTCTAAAGAGTGATTCTTGGACTAGTGTTGATTATTGTGATTAGACATTCTATAGGAAAAAGTGTGCTGGTTATTATGAGTATAGATTAAATTGTGGAGGTTTGTTTGTGGATGGGAAGCTTCATTGGGATACTTATATTTATGATCCTGAATTTGATCCAGTTGAGTATTAGGGTAGGAACATTATTTCTTTTGATTTAGCTAATGAGAAATGGGAAAAGGTGGGGAAGCCCTCCTATGGAGAAGGAGAGACTGAAATGTGTGTGGTAACGTTGGGAAGTGATATATGTGTTTTTACTGATTATAAGACAACTCATTTAGCTGCTTGGGTTATGAAGGAGTATGGTAATAAAGAACCTTGGATAAAGATGTTTACCATCACGCATCCAACTAATCCAAACTGATATCCAACCTTTTTCGTGTCAATTAAAGGTGAAAAATTGATGGTGTTAATATGGAGTAACTTCCATGATATACATTTCCAAAGGTGAATCATTAAGATATTCAAATATTACTAATTGTCATGGCGGTCAATATGCTCAATTCTACCTTGAAAGCCTAGTTTTCCCTTTTTCAACCCGAGGGACAGAGAATGCAGAAAAAGCTCATAACTTGTAAGAGTACTTTCTTCTCAAGTGTTTTAAAATTTGTTTGTTATGTCAAATATAGAATAAGATGTGCATGTGAAGGATATCTTCTGGACTAGTTTTGGTGTGCTCCTTGCTGCTAATAGCTAGATGTATATTTTCTTCAGTTCTAAGTTCTCATTCTCTTTACTATTTTGGTCATTTCTTTCACTTCGACAGTAATACTGACATAAGCAAGACCACATTGCTAGGATAAAGAATATAGGTAGCTACGTTCAGCTGCTTTGATCATGAGGGTGGGGTGTAAGGTTCGTTTAATAGAGCCCTATCTATTCTAAGGTAGTGTAGATTGAAGTGCAAGATTTTTTACCTCAATTGAATGGCTCACAACAGATGCAAATCAGCAAATAGAACATACAGAGACTGTTAGCATTCATAAATCAATACATAGTTGAATGCGCAGGTCTGTCAAACAATTTTCCTTTCAGTGAATTGGGTCAAAATTCCAAAATATCAATACAAAGTTGATAGCATGACATATAAAGAATAAGAGGCGTCGACATTTATAGATATGAAGTGTTAAAAGTGGATTGAGAACCACGAGGTATCAGGTTCAAATTCCAACAGAGGATACAAAAACACTTGGTTATTTCTTCTCATCTGTCCTACTCTTGATAGATAGAGTTACATGTTGCTAGTGGGAGGTGACAAGTATCACAAGAAAATATACATCTAGCGATTAGCAGCAATGACTTGTTCTATATTTGAAATATCAAACAAAAATTTAAAGAAGTTGAGAAGAAAGTACTCTTACAAATTATTTGTTTCTCAATTGTTTTGATCTGGGCTTTTTCGGCCTTTGTTTTGTTGCTTTCTCTGTCACTTCAGTTGAAAAAGGACAAACTAAGCTTTCGACGTATATTGCCACTCCATGGAAGTCATTGCAGTTAATAACATGTGGATTTCTGAATGTGTCGTCTTTTGAATCGTACATAATGGAAGTAATTGTTCTTAACGCCACCAGCATTTCACCTTTATTTGACATGAACAGAGGTGGACATAAATCTTTCTTAATTGGATACGTGATGGTAAACTTCTTTATCCAAGACTCTTTAACCCCGTATCCATTCACAACCCAAACACCTAACTGAGTTTTGTTGTAATCCCTAAAGACACAGAGATCACTTCCCAACAATCCCATACACATATCAGTCTCTCCTACTCCATACGAGGGCTTCTCCACCTTTTCCCATTTCTCATTAGCTAAATCAAAACAAATAATTCTGCTGCACTTACGCACATCATCGAAATTAGGACTAAAAGTAATCGTATCCCAATGAAGCTTCCCATTAGCAAAAAACCAGAATCTCTTAATCTCATTGTTCTACCAGAGTCTGCAGTATTTAATATCTCCTCATCACAATAATCAATATTAGTCCAAGAATTACTCTTTAGACTATATATTTTAACCTCACTCCCATGTGAACGACCTTGTATATAAAAAATACCCACTACCTTATAATCGTCACGGAGCTCATCATATCCAAAACCATAATCGTCATAGTAGTTCTTCCATCTAGGTCTAGGATTAGGCAATTTCTTATGCATTCTAGTTGTTGGATTCCATAAAAGCAAACATCCTATATAACCCATAAGCAAAATCAATCCATTGCAAGAACCCAAAATATCGATAAGTTTACTGTTGTCTTCAATGGGATACTTCAAGTCAAAAGCCTCAGTAACAGAGTCATAAAATAAAGACCTAAAAAGGCATTCTTTGAAATTCCACTTACAATCTCTATTCTGAATAGAAATTAGCACATGGTGGTTACTAGCTGATAAACTGAGATGGTTCTTGATAAATTCACGGCTAGAGATTAAAGCAAGCCAAAATTTCGATACAGACCTGAATTTCAAGAGGGATTTCACGGGAACCCTCAAAAGGATTTCAGTGATGAGTTCAGGTGGCAGGATTTCAGTCAAGTTCGAATCTTCCATTGGATTTGATGGAAATGGAGCTCTTTTTCTGCGATTGGAGGCTTAAGAAGCCATTTGAGTTGCAGAAATTTTGAGTTGTGAATACCTAAATCTACTGATATATTCTTTTAAGGAAGGTTTTGGTAAGAAGGATGTGTTTGGCAGAGTTATAATTTAGTAAAACATTTGGGATTGTTTGTTCATATATACTATATTTATCGTCATTGTAAATTTGAAAGGATATCCTTCATTTTCAAGCGGAGAAAGTTGAATTCATGAGATGAACACATAACTGCCAGCAGATTGTGCCGTTGTATTTTTTTGAATGCGATAAATCATTTATGAGTTTGAGAAAATTTATCTATCAACATCTAGTTTAATTCATCTACCTATTCATTTTGATTTGCTAAGATCGCCCTTTCCCTTTATAAGCGTTGCTAAATTTGGATTTTTGGAGTGATGGAAGATATTAAGCTTTCCTCTATGGAAGTATCTTTGGATCTGTTCTTGCTCGCATATTTGTTGTGAAAGTGTATTTTATCCATTAAAGGCCACAAATAAGATTTATATCAAACTGGCATTAACTGTCTCTATTTGTGTAGATTTTGAAACAACTAGTCGAAAATCGCCTTCAAAGACTATGGCCTTTTCCACCAAATGGTTCATTGGCTTCCATTATATCTCTAAAGCTTCTGTCGACTGTTTCAATTGTGTGGCGCTTGACCACGAGTACTGCTTTGTCCTATATAATTGTTCTAAGGAGAGTTTCATTTGTTGTCGCGATCATAATTAGAGAAATGAATTTTAAATTAAAACAATACATTAATTACTAGGATGTTCGTGTAATACCATTTCAATTTATTTCTCTTACTTTCCTTGTTATTATTTAGAAAAAAATGAATTGAGTTATGTATAGTAAAAATGCCTTTTTTTTTCTTTTCTAGTAAAAGGAACTGTAATATACACCATTGAGTTCACCGCCAATTCATATTACATGTTCTTGAGATATGTGACGATTTTTCAAAATCTTTTAATTTATGTTGGAATGATCTTGATATCTTATAATTTTTCCAAAAAACAAAATAGAAGCTACTTTTAATATTCAAATATTAGGAAAGGATCATTCTAAGCTTAATGGGGTGATTACTACTCGTGCGGAGCGCGGATAAATTATCTAGTATAAAATAATTGAAGTGTTAATAATAAAATGAATTAAGAGTAAAAATTAAATATATTTAGCTTTGAGGAGTAAAAATAATATTTTAAGTTTTCTAATGAGATTTTTCATAACCGCGCGATAAAATTGGTTATTGATATAACGTATTTAAAAACTGAAAACCGATAATACATAAAATCAAACTAAACGAACGATGCACACCCTACTTATAACATAGTTAACTTGAAGAGTATGGGAAACATAAGAAACAAGATTAGTAAATGTTGCAGTCCATGATCTTCAGTGGAAAAAAAAATCTGTAACTTGTTTTCAATTAAGCTTTTCAGTATGAGTGAACAAGTTTTTACAAGTATGAAGATTATCTAGCAATGAGGTTAGTAGATTTAACTATAAAACAATGTGACACATGCAATTAAGCTGCTGCTAACAAGAATCAACAGCCAACCTCGGCTTGTCGCGAATGTTGTTTGAAATCTATGTGAAACTAACTTAAGAATTGCAATACATGCAAAAGATAAGCTGATTGAGAACATAGCCAACTCTTTCTTTTCCAAACTCTTTTGGTCATTCACAACCTTTTCGACGTCTAATCTGCAAAAGAAGTAGAGAACAGGAAAGAAAAATCAGTTCAAGCTTGAGAGTTGAAAAATAATACAACATGATCACAATCTTCTAAATATGAAACAAAAACTTGGTAATAGGATATAAGGAGTACCTAATGAACTGGTTTGAACTGAGTTTTGACATTAAAATTACACTTCTTAATAATAGTTACCTAGTCATTTCACTCATAGGGTCTAGAAAGTGTCATGAGCTTTGGTCCTTTGCCAGGTAATCAAGCAATGTGGATTACAACAAATGGATTTGAAATCTTTACTACTATCAAGTTCACATTTAAATAATGGAGTTCCCTTACATTCTCTTAGGTGTATTCGAAATTAGCTGATCCAAATTGAAGCCTCACTTCTTTTACATATCATACATACTGAATAAAAGAACAAACATTTAACAACTGACTTCGCCCAAACAACTTACTTGACTTTCATTTCAATGTCATCCTCAAGATTAAACCTAGATAGTCAAGTGGAAATCACACAATGCTTATAGCCTGTTCGAAGTTCAAGCATTTACTATAGGATGCATATCTCAAAACCAACCCTTCTATCTTCCAGAAGCCTAAAACCCTCTTCAAGTAAAATGCAAAATCACCGAGCTAGGATTTTAGAGGTCTGCATACGGTTTACAGTATGTGTTGCAGTTTGTCCTACGTGACTTATTTTTCCTTCTCCCCCTCAAACTAAATATTATAAAGAGATTGTCCAACAGGTACTGAAAGCAGCAGCAGGGTTTTCCATTGCTCGGCCAGGGCTTTATATTCAAGTTGCCAAATAGAACCTTACACCTTTTTGTAACAACTCGCTTTGTACTCATGTAAGATAAGCTTATGAAGAAGCGCATAACAGACTACTAATTTGCCAGTTCATTCATGATTGAGTCACAATGCATATCATTTCTCGAAAAGTTTTAACTATCTTAACCATGAAAAATAAGGATATGAAATCATCAAAAGTCGACCTAGTTTTTACAAAGTAGAATACTACGGATCAAACAAATGCAAAAGTACTGGATCGTCCCACATGAATTGCTTTGAAACAATAAGAGTCAAATACACCAACAGAACAACCTTTTTTCTCTGAATGCATAACATTGTGATGCATGAAAACACATTTTAAACCCTCTGGTTGTATTTCTTTAGAAAAATATTAAAATGGTCTTCAGATATTAACTTTTTCCTGTCCATCGCCTCATTTTTACTGGGGACAGGAAATATAATTATGCTCAGATAGCTGCTTTCAGCTTTCCATTTTAAATACTACAAAAAAGAGCCCCGCTTTTTCTTTTATGAGGTGTTAAGAGAAACATAAGATAAAATCTAAAATGGACCATTTACTCAGTTCAACATCAAACTCCAACTGACTTCCTAAAACTTTGATAATCCTATAGCTTCAGGGTTTCAAGTTCTTTTAAAACTGCTATATTCAATTTGAGATACAGCAAATCTGCAGCTACCGGGAACACAAACAATTAAAGAAGAAGGAATCAAGATAAACAGACGCGATTCACTCAGATAATAACACAAAATCAACTTATAGTACAAGGATACAAGTTAGTTAAGGGGGTTACATGAGATCTACTACCTTAGCATGCGATTTCCGTTGACCAATAAATCCAATTGAGCTGATACAGAAGCTTTCCAAGATTCAAGATCACTATTTTCTTTCTCCTGCAAGGAAAAAGAGCTTTCTTTTTATGACTGAAATGTGTGCATTAGTCTGCTCATTAGCAACAAAAAGGAAATAGTTAGGCACACCGTATTCTCTTTCCATTTCAGAAGATCCTTGATCTCTAATTTGCTTTTCTCTAGGAGATCTGAAACTTGAGAAATTTCATTATCTAGCTCAGGCAGAATGTCACCTTGCCTCTTGCTCAGCTCTTTAATGTACTGCTCCAGGACAGATAAGTTCAATTCAAGTGCTCTCACCTTTTGCAGCAGTATTTTTAGGACTGCATCGCCATGAGTTCTGCCATTTGATTGCTGCCTATGCTTTTTTATAAACTCAGGGCCATTGGTTATGGTTTGTTTTTTCCTTGTTGCATCTAAATTAGTACCTTGCCCTTCATCAAAATTTTCTAGCCCCTGGTTTGCAGACTCTACCACATTTTGGACGATACCCTTTGTTTCATGGTAGTCAGAACCTGAATCTGGTATCATAGACAGCATAGCAGTTTTGTTAAGATTTCCCATTTTATCAGGAGAAGACTCAGGGGAATGGACGATAAGATCCTCAAGCATCTGCTCTATGGCATCAATACCATAGACCTCGATAAAACTGATAGTACAATAAAATTCAGAACCATAATGCGTGAGTAAATTTAGCTTCAAGTATCTAACCCATTTTGGTTCAGGTAGCTTAAAACACTGAGCATGCTTGACATTTTCTGCAACAAAAGTTCCCAGTGGATTCCACGTCTCAGTTGGATATACCAGACTCCCGGATAACTCAAATTCTTTTAGCCTAGATGAATAATGCTCGAAATTTGCAATTTTGACTGCATCAACTAGAGTTTCATCTGCAAGCTCAATAACAAAGAATTTCCCGACCACAGAACAAGGGTTTCTGAGATACTTATCATGATCCTTGTTCAGTACGTTGTTTGCTCCTTTTGCTTCTTTATTGTGGGCCACCACTTTAGCACCCTTGGATGACGAGGCATAATTGTAAGGCGTACCATCAGGCTCAAGCCTGTGGGTGATATTTACTAACTGACTTGCTGTGCTCCCTATCTTTTCTTGTTTTGTAATGCTTCTAAATTCTTCCAGATTCGGATAGGTCAATTGAGTTCTTCCATTGAGTAGCCGACCTTCATTACGACGGATATGCACTACTTGTGGCTGCATTTGGCATATTAACATGTTGTAACCTAAAATAGTAGAAACTGCATCCTCCAATGCACTTGTTTTTTGCAGTGAATGCTCAGGGGTTGCAATGTTATCTGTAGGACTACAAGAATCATTAATCTTAACTGATATGTTGAGTTCCAATAGTACTTCAGTTTTGCTGCTCTTCCCTCTGCTTTCTAAAAGCGGTTGAGTGGAGCTGTTGAACTCTCTATCATTAACACTATAATTGGTATGAGTCTCAGCATAGGCAAGAGAAATCCCTGCACAAAATTCCATTGGAACCATATATCATTCAGAGAACTAATTAATGAGCTTTAAAAGATCATTTATTATGCTCCACATGCTAAACTAGCCTCAAGCCCACTAAACATAAATTAGATA